CAGGTTGCCCAGAGAAGCTGTGGCTGCCCCCTCCCTGGCAGTGTTCAAGACCAGGCTGGATGGAGCTTTGAGCAACCTGGTCTAGTGGAAGATGTCCCTGCTCGTGGCAGGTGGGTTGGAACCAGATGAGCTTTAAGGTGCTTTCCAACCCAAACCATTCTATGATTCTGTGATTATGTGATTCTATACCTTTCTATGAGTTTAAAGAGAGGGTAGATTAGGGGCGGACTGAATAGAGCTGCTTGCAAAAAGGATCACATCACTGTTGCAAGCAATGGTCATCAGAGGAATACAGAAAAACCAAACAGGTAATATTCAAGAATGCAAAATAAATCTAAAGTGTGATTGAAACAATTTGAGGATATTAAAGGATAAATTCCACCTCAAATACACGCCAAAGAGGTTCTGCAGATTTTCACAGTAATTCTGTTACTTCCTAGAAAATATAATAAATAGAATTTATGTTATTACAGATACGCAAATGCATTTCATGCTTGCCATGTATTATGGTGCTGTGCAGTGCTTCCGTTTTCATGAGCTGGTCCTGAACAAGCTTGAAACTGCACCTTCTTTAACTAATGACTGTGGTAGGCATTAGGAGTCTCTCAAGGCCAGCAAGAAGTAGGCTTTCTCTGTATTCCTCCTTTATCAAAGTTATTAACAAAGCAAAGCACTTTCTTTGTTATAGACCTAATTTTACAAGTCTTGAAAACACACTACAGATTTATTTTAATTTAAAAATTAGTCCCAACCGTTTTCCATTACTCAACCATAGGTGGGCTACTGTCCAGAGTGTAGCATACTTCCAGGAAAGCAATTAATCTTAAGCTAGAAATTAAATGAGATTGAAATACTGCATGTGTTAATTTATTACCAGAGCTAACTCAAAAACAAATAATATTTACATCTTTTTATAATACGTTAGTATCTTCTCTAAAATATAATTTCTTATTCCATGTGAGCTGGTAATATCAAATATTTTCACTAAAACATATTTCTCTGAAGAAAATGTGAAGAAAAAAGGCATGAAAAGAGAATCTTCTAAAATGTCAATAATCTGGAGACCCGTTCTCATAATAAAGCTACACTGCAGTGCTAGCTATGTGATGGTGGCAAAAAGAGGGCTTGGATTAATTTATTGTATGTCAGAGTGGAATCGTGTAGCCTTTGGTTTTGATTTTAACTATCAAAATATTGACTGTCTGATCATTCTGAGATTACTAAGAAACTGTTAATTTTCACAGAATGCTGAAAATCTCCCTCCCTTTTTCTTGAAAATAGTGCTAGAAGAGAACTCAGGAGAGATGCCTCAAATGGCAAATAATTCTTAAAAAGGCAGGTTTGTACATTCCATCTGTTGAAGATACTTGGTTTAATGCCATATGTCTTGGAGTCCACCCGTGCGGGACATGTTGTTCTGTGTAGAATCCCGTTGGTTTCAGTGGGAAAAGACATATACAGATTATTATTAATATTATTATTATTATTATTATTCAGGCCAGTGTATTTCAAATCACTTTTTATTTCCTGTGAGTTAAGTCATGTTCCTGAATTATGATTTGGTTTTGTGACAAGTAGAGTTGGATCTCAGTTCAGAAAGCTAGCCCTGGAAATGAACGCAGCTAATGGCTGACCATGCAACCTACCTGTAATCATCTCTTTTCTTACAGATGTAATTTTGTAACTGACAGACTTTTTTTCTGGAAGATTAAAAACAGTTCATGTCATTAGGAATTAATTAAATATGGGCACTTGTTAAGTCCATTGCATCTCAGAAAGGGGAAATATAATGCCACTTATGAAATTGTTATTTCATATGCATTTGGCCTCGGTTCTCATGGGACCTATCAGGTTCTCTTGGAGGTTTGGTGACTCACAGCTGTTGCAAATTTGAGGAATCTGTTCCTTACTGTTCTCTTGTTTGAATGAGATAAGAAATATGAAAAGTTAGGGGAAAATTCCATTTGCAACAAAATAGCAATTATTTTTGTGTTTGAAAAGCTCAGGCCTAAGCAAACAAATTAACATAGTTGTGACAATGTAAGAGGCTTATAAGAATTTCAGGTGTATAAAATATGAAGAGGAATTAGTAACTTTCACTCATTTTCTCTAGTGCACTTTTGTTGATGGTTAAACTCAAAAGTATCTGTGATGTACAGTT